TTGCTAAAATCATTTGTTATTTTCTTATTTACTTTAACATTTATAAAAAAAAGCATGTAATAATGATATAAAATGTACTTATTTAAAAATAAAAATATATATAATTTGAAATAATAACAAGATCATATTAATATAATATGAATTTTATAGAATTGGAGTACATTAAAATAATCGATGTTGAATATAAAAAAAATTATAATAGGGCAATTATAAAATAACATGTACTTATTTCAAAATAACATAAATATAAATTAAAATAATAAATAATTAATATAAAATTAACAAAAATTTTAAAAACCTGAAGCTCGCTTGTCATATTTTGTTGCTTTTACTAGTTGTTGAACATTGAGATATTGAAATACAGTTTATTCCACTTAAAGTTTTATGAAATCTTAGTTCAACATTGACATATTAAATCATAGTTAAGTATTAGGAATCAAGTTTATTTAGGTGTATATGTGTTTTGTGATTAATCACCTTAGTATAATTAAGGTGAGATGAGTATTTTAAAAGATGAGTACTTCTTTGTACGTATCTTTAATTGTATGCGATTATCAAAGATTTCAAATCATATCCATATCAAATGATATCTTTAATTATTTGTGCGTATTAAAATATCAAATGATATTCATAGTAATAAAACCCTTTAATATGGTGGGGACACGACAGAGCTATATTATGTATAGGACAAGAGCATGCAAAAAATGGGTGTAGCCATGTAGGATAGGCATACCTATTGCCTATAAGACTATATATGGTAGTATATTCACAGACATAACAAGACAAGTCATGCAAATTAGCTTTATTTCTACTTTTTGGTGTCGTGAAAGGGTGTGAGTACTAGATTGTAGTTTGCCAATTTCAATGCTTTGCTATTTTCAATGATTTGCTATTTTCAATGCTTCAACATTGATTCTCTAAGTTAATAATTATAATCAAATAAACCATTACCAAGAAGGATAGAACAAATAAAGACAGTAGATCGTCTAAATTTGGTACTACCCATATCCTCTGGACTTTTATTAATCCGTACATTGGAACAATTACCTGTACAAGAAAATATAGACTCTTTAGAATCAAACAGTAGATAAAAGAAGCAAAACAGACATTGCAACTTTGACAAAAATTGTAACGTAATGGATCGACTAATGTACGGAAGTAGGTCATTTGCAAGTTTTCTAGGGCTTTCATGTTGTAATACTAACATAAAATAGTACGGAAAATGATATTATAAGCTTTAAATTATAAAAACATTGTACTTCATATTATAATTATTACAAATCTTTTCGGAACATTTGATAAATTACTTACCCCGTTTCTTTTTAATTGACACTTTTTTTAATTAAGTTTGCGAATATACTAATTCAACCATTAATATATGTTTTCATGATTGGTAACAGCTAAGAAAATTTACCATTTTTATGTCTTTAAAAATGTTATTTAATTATGTAGCAACCTTTTTATTACTCCGTTTATCATTTATGTAGGATCTTATGATTATACAATCTGGTTTTACTGATTCGATCCTACCTCTCTTACCGATTCAAAGTAGGATTCTAATTCTGACAAACATGCTATCCACTTGACTCTTTTCAATCTATGCATGGAAACAATTATCTATATAACTATTTGTAGTAAACTTGATTATGACAATGTTTATGGTGAAATAATAGATAAATGAAGCAAAAAATTAAGGGTAAATGTTATATGAACATGTCATCAATCCTTTGAAAAGGAAAAAAAAACAAATAAAATTTTTTGGTGGAAAAAAAGGACCAATTATATTCATCTAAATTCATGCACATGGATTCTAAAAATAAGAGTGAGAATTAGAAAATAAGAGTGAAAAAATAGATAAAGCATTAATTGCAAAACAGAAAAATCGGGATAAGTTGGGATATTTGGTAAAAAATTAATTACTAAAAAAGAAAAGCATGAATATAATTTTGAAATACCCAAAAAGAAAAGAAGGAATGTAAAAAAGGGGTGGAGGGAGTATATTTATTCATACCATCGTGTGAATTTAGTGTAATGTCGTGTTTGAGAAACATATAATTGTTAGATATATATGTAGGTAATTGTTAACATTCAACAAGCTGTTAGCTATGAAGCTAAATAATTTAGATATAAGTGTTCAGTAAAGTATCGGTTTACCGATTATTACACATAAAAATCAATAGTTTACTTTAATGCTATAGATTAAATTTTTAACATCTACCTCAAAAGCTAGCTCTAATTTCAAAAACTAATATTTCTAACTTTTCATAAAAGCTACCTCTACCACTAAAAACTAACCTAACCTCTACTTTACAAAACAATCCTATTTTTTTAAGTAGTGATTTGACCAAGTCAAACCACTTAAATCTACTCAAAACTAAAAGGCTATTGAACAAGCATCAATACTAACGAGAAACACGTCATTCTAGTAACTTCTACTTTGAGCCTATTTTCCATGCAAATTGTACAGAACTTCGTCAAATGTCTTTTCCAATGCTAAATAAGTGTGTCGTCCTAGAGAGTTAGTATATAGGTTTTCTACTTGTCTTACTTACTTTACTAATGCAAATTGTAACAACTTTCAATGACAAAGACAACACATAATATATACTATTTGTTTCACTGACAATAATTACTATATTTAATTTGTTTGACAACGAAAACACATAAATACTCTTTGGGGGACGAAACCAAACATAATAAAGAACTGAATCTTTTAATTATTCTAGAATAACCAAATAACAACTCGTTACCCGAATATGCCCTGCGCCCCTACTGAGTATACCCTAGTGGAACATTCTATCTTAAATTAATAATCATTTCCTTTCTTTAACACGGGAATCATAGCCATCGTTGTCCTTTTGTAATGGGCTTGAAGAAAGAGAAACTGAAATAATATTATACAATACAAAAAATAGTATTTTTGGAGAGAGATATGTCATGACCATGTTATAGCCATGACCTCTAGAAAATGGTGGGCAAAAGAAGAGGGTGGGCCACTTGTCTTATAATAATTGGCCTATAGTGTTATTTTTAATATTTTTTTTAATGTTTTATGTGTATAAAATATTTATGACTATGGCAACTAATGAGAGCATATGGGCAAAACTGGGTATGGGAATTTGGCATGAATAAAGTAGAAGAGAGAGATATGTATTAAACATTTGATGACCACTATTAGCTTGGGCAACCAATGACTTTGCTTTTACCATTGTGCATGTTCAAAATGATATTTTTTTTTTGGATTCAATCAATTTGTTTTAAAACTGGATTGAATTGTGATTTAGGTATGGCTCACGCAAATATTTATAGGGTGTTACTAGAATAAAGGCTTAAATATTGCTTATCGTTTCTTCTAAAACAATACTCCGTATAAATTCTAAGGAGACTGATTTGTCTTAGATAAAGGTTTAGGAAATTATAAATTTGATTAGACAAATAATAATCTAATATGATATGTTTTGAGTTGATATGATACTTATTTGATATGTTCTTTATTATTAGCTAATTTGTATACATTTACTGTTAATTGGTAAGGCTATAACTAGTTATAGTCTAATTATGAGACAGTTTTGCAATGGCAACAATATTTTTGTACCCAATGTAATTATTTAATCTAAAAGGTACCTTTGTCATAGAAAATTTGATGTCTTTGATTTAAGTTGGCTTAATATGTTACTCCATATTTGGTTTTTTGAATTTTTTTTTAATAAAGTAGTAAAACTATGTGTTTCTCTTTCTTTATAACTAGCAACTGCAATATCGACCCCCTTCACTAGACTCTCTAATATTCATAATAATACTCCAAAATTAAAATTTGTTTCCAAAATTCCCTCAGTCATCATTTTCTTTGCACCTGTTTTTCCTTTTTTTTTGAAATAATGCGACCATATATAAATATATTTGATGTTATCTAATTATATAATTAATTTGATCGATCGACCTCCTTATGTGATATTTTTTGAAATTATCTTCAATTTCCCATCAAAACCACCAATCAAATTGTTGAGGCTGTAAGTATTGGCCAGTTTATTCATCCGTTGAGAAGTGATTAAGGACTATATATCAATGAAGAAGCGATTAGTTTTGCTTTGAAAAGTAATATAATGGCCACATTTTGGTGTTGCCATTGAATAGTCTTCCCTAATTATGTATATGAAAATGGAAATGTATATTAAAATGGTGTACAGAAATAGTTATTTTTTGCGGTTTTTCTTTTTTCTTTTTTTTATAAAGAAGGGAATTAATACTTTTTCAGTAATTGAGTTTGTCGCGCAATTAGCTTGCGGTACTATATGCAAGGAACCTATATATATATATATAGGATATATATATATATATATATATATATAGGATATATATATATAGGTTCCTTGCATATAGTACCGCAAGCTATATATATATATATATATACTAGTTGTTGGTGCGCTCGCTACGCCCCCAACGCTACGATATGTAATTTAGTTGATGTTAATTGCGTGTCGTTGTTTGAAGATTATAAAATGCACGTAATAGGTTTGACTTAGGTTAATTAGTTCCATGTGAACGATTATATTGCTTGTTTCGCATGGTATGTAATCAGTGTACGATAATTTTGTGTGTCATTATCTTGAAAATTATAAATATATGCAAATTTGCCTTATATTACCCAAATACCTCTAAAAGAGTATAATGCTTAGGTTCGTCTGCAAACAATGGAATGTTTTTTATTGTGTTGTTATCTCTATATATTATACATTTTTAATGATTGCACATGTTAATTTATACATACAGTTATAATGTTATTAATTTATATATACTTTATAAAGGGTGTACACCGCTTTTCCTTCTCCAAACCTCTCTTTTGAATTCTACTTTTTGAAAACAAATTAAATGTGATAGATTAAATATTACCCACTTAACAAATTCATCTCATTTCCTAGACTTTCCTAAGGCTTTTACAGCATTGAATGTTTATATAAACAAAAGAGCTTAAACAAACTTGAAATACTACTAACGATGAATAAACGAACATCACTATCTCTAACATTGAGTCACAATTTGAAAAACTTATGTGAACGAACAAACTTAAGTTTTAAAAGAATGAGTCATTTCTCTAACATAACGAAAACACATTGTATATACTACATTAATAAAATCTATATTACAGTTAAGGTTGAAAAATATGATAAATAAATTTCTATCTCAAAAGGCACAAAATTTTCACAATATGCTTCATTTTTTTAGAAAAAACAAATCTCAAGTCCTAAAAAAATTAATCACCATAGACTATAAAATACACTTGTTAGAATGTGGATTTACTTGGGGTCTGATATCTAAAGGTTGGATTCATTTAGTTTCAGTTTCAAGTTCAAATTCCCTGTAGATTAGAGCCCAGCTTAAACTGTCCATGAAAACCTCAGTGATTAAATGATAATGATACAAAAATGAAAATTATAAATTAAAAAAATAATAATAATTGAATTAAATAAAACAAATTGATTGAAGCCAATGTAAAACACATTCTTACAAATTTTTAAGCTTTATAGCACATGTAAGTGACCAACAAGGCCTCAGAGAAGAAACATTCAACATGTGATCACATGAACAGGAATAATTTACATAACAGGTTCAGATGCTAAGAGAGAAGATTAATGCTCTTGCTGACATTTCTTGTTTTTGAGATTAAGCTTTTAACATTTCTTGCTAAGAGTGTAACCAGGGTGTGCCAATTTGCACACAGAGAAATCACAGTGCAAGCAGCCAACTAAGTTCCTAATACTCATATTCACTGCCTAGTCACGAAAGCTCCATATGAACTCCCAACATGAAATCTAAGTCAAAAACACCACTTGGCAGTTGCATAGTCCAGATTTCCAAATGGATTCAATTATAATGATCAAATTTCAGCTTAAGTTCATACATTATATCCTTAACCATTTTTCCATTAATCCTACATAGACTCAAAACAATTTGTGAAAATCCTAAATCAAACAACAAAGTACTTATTTCAGAAACCCAGTAAAATCCCAGATGTGCGAGGCCAAAATTTGTATCCACAAAGCAATTTTCCAACATCTATTTAACAACCTCAGCATGTACCCCAACTGCTTGTCAAAATGCCACAATGAAAACTCGAACAAAAAGGAAAGAAATTCAATATTCATATATCAGGTGAACAGATGAGAGAGATAATGATATAGAATCTCCTTTCTAAAACCACAACAAGCTACAATCATCTGAAACAACTTACCTCCTCTAATTCGAACATCTTGACGGAAGCTGTTCAGTATGGGAATCATTAAGTGGTGGCAGCTCTCCTTAAAATAGTTCTTTACACTTTACCAGCAAAATTGATAGTTTGAGTATTTAATCATTGTTTGTTCATATAGCAATCACACTCCATCAATACCAAAATTTAATAAATGCAAAATGCGAACTCGAAGGCTCTGCTAACCAGAACAAAACACACAAACACATACAAAGTCACATACTGAAAGCTCCAAAGAATCAAGTAGGCATACAGAAAAAACTGAGGTAATAATAACGGTGCTTATTACATCCGAATCGGCAAAGTGATAACTGAACATATATCTCAGGCCGATACAAAACACCAATGTCCACCACCATGAATTAAGGGGAAAATTTTACTACAAATATTCAAAACCAATTGGTTGAATATTAGAACAAAATTAGAGATGGATGACCCAATTCTTAAGTATCCCTTTACCATCAGAAACTCCTTTAAACATGTTTAGGTCCTGTTCTCATTGACTGGACTGAACTGAACTAAATTGAGCTGAACTTAATTGAGCTGAACTTAATTGAACTGAACTGAACTAAACTGAAATGAATATTTTATAAGAGAAGGAAATTAGGAGCTGAGCTGAACTGAACTGAATTTCAACGTAAGAGAATAGGCCCTTAGTGTCCTGTATAATCCACAGAATAAACCTCCGCAATTGCTCCAGCAGTCTTGACAGTAGCAACAACCACCTTAATTTCACTTGAATCAACTTATACGCTGACTCTAATTGAAAACAAAATTTTATAAACCTAATGTCACTGTCGCACCTAATCTTTGATGCCAAAAAATTCACACCCAAATCAATTTTAAAGCATCTAAGGAAACCTAGAAAAAATGGTTCAGTTAAATATAAAAAAAAATATACTTTTACTTTCCTCCCATTTTCTCTAGATCCCTTTATATAAATTAACCACTTATAAGAGGTCAAAACTTGAGCTTAGTCCAAAACTGACCAAATGAAAATATGCTCACAAATAAAAATTAACGTAGACAAACATGGAGCACCATATATATACGATTAAAAATGAATAAGTGTATACTTACTCTATCAGCTTCGGCCATAGTTGCTAGAAACTCTCTTTCTAGGATTGTGTGAGCCTAGGGGCATAACATAGAAGAACAAGCTGGAAAACATCGACACTGTTCTTTATGTTAAGCAAGTCGTTCTCCAGCTGTACCTCACACTCTATTTTAAAATGAGGAACCACATACACATGAGACAATATCACAAGGTGCAGAATATATTCCTCAATATCTTATGGGTTATAGCTGTAGAATGACAGCAAAAACACAGCAATCAACATGCAAAAACTAATGTGCTTTCACAAGATATAATATTACTATATAAAATTTTATAAAAATGAAACACTGCAATATATTACCAAGAAGAGTAGAGAAATCTAATGAAAACACAAACCACATCACGTGGAACACCATGAATGGTGGTAGATTTGCGTCGATTTTTGACTTTGGATTCCTTCACCCTGTCAATATAAAAGTATCAGCTGTCTTCTTCATTGACATCATAAAATTAATCCTAAATAAGTCATTTTTCCATCAAGGTAAACTGAATCCATAGCAATTCAAGGAAACTTGGAATTTTTCGACCATGCATTGATAATAACATTAGCAAAACATGTGTTCTTTCAATGATATTTATATACTGAAATATCAAAGCTTACAAGCCAACATTGTCAAGCTGAATTGAAAATTGTTTAATTTCATTCAAAAAAAAAAATGCAAAAAGTCAAATGGTTATGAAAGATCTTACCAATATATTAGCATGGGCATAAATCCAACTACCATCATGTATATGAATGACAACATCAGCTCAATAAACTTCATCAAAAAGGCGGTCATACAAATCCGTTATTGCAGTGCATACAAGGAATTGGTCTTTGTAAGATGACATGCCCTTGGACTTAAGCAAAACCCTCTTAGGTTGTGCACCGGGCAATGGAGGTGCTGGTGGAGGATTCACACACTGTCGATCACATCTCCATTTTACACATTTTATTGATTTCAACTCCTGCTAATAATGAAAAAATACTCAATTTTAGTAAATCATCAATTTCTTAATCAGAATTTAGAACTCTTTATTTTCTACTCAAAGCTTATATAGATTATATAAGGGTCTAATCAAATACATTGCCTAAAATCAATCTTTAAATTTTCCCTAAATCCCACAAAAACAAATACATGAATTTAACAAAATATTTAGAAAATACATACACAAGTATGTAATAACAATTAAATAAAATCCCTTTTGGGTTTTATGAGATAATGATCAATTTTGAAATGCAAGCATAATTGAACTAACAATTACTATCATATAGGATCATACTACCAGAATAATAAATTTAAGGGGATAGAAAGAAAAAATTATGAGTTGAACACGCTGCAAGCCTTCAATGGAGAGCTCATACCAATGAGGAAGAGAAAAGGGGAGAGATTGAGAAATTGTGTTGTCGAGGGAAAGCGGGAATATAGTACTCAAAGATGAAGTGAAGGCTGGACAAATTTCCACATGCAAAGGGTAAAAACTATCCTCATAAGCTACTCCAATGGAGAACAGACCTCATAAATCGCTTCCACCGGGTGCTGAGCCGAATGTCTCATTTTTCGGCGAGGATGGAAATGAAATTCAAACTGCAAATAGAAAATTTCTAATTAAAATACTCCTTAATTCATGGATTACAAAGGAAGAAAAGAGGAGATTAAGCAAACCATGAATTTGATTAAAAGTGTAGAAAATCCAGATAAATAATTATCAAAAAAGAGAAAAAAGAGGAGAAAATTGGCAATTGTACCTGTGATTGTTCGACAGGAGAAGGTTCAAGTTGCATTTCTTCTGATTGTTGAGGCGCGACCCATGCATTTCACTTTTGATGCTCCATTCTTGTTGTTCAAGTTTAGTTGCGGCGGCGTAGGTTGTGGTGATGGTAGAATTCTACATCGCTTCAAATTAAAGAGAGGATACCTAAAAAAATTCAATTACAAAATTAAATTAAACCACAAAAACCTCAATTTTTCAAATACCCACAAAAATTCACATTAACCTATTTCACCATCAACAAAAATCTCCTCTAGTGAAGTCAGAAAGTTGAATTAAACCACAAAAACCTTTGCTTTGTAAGCAAAGCAAATCAGAAAGTTGAATGGAACGGTTTAGGTGATAATTTAGAAACAAGATGCACAACATCTAAGAGCACCTAAAATCTCAAATCCAAATTCCAATCACGAGTGTAAAACCAAATAAAAATCAGGTCAAGGCTTATTATCCAGCCACAAAACCCCTAAAAAGTGAGCATATAGTCTAATAGTATGTGTAACGTACATTAAGGAAAGGAAATTAAATAGCATCTACAATTGGATCAAACAATTAGCAGAAGTTGACAAGGTTCACTTATCAGACAACACCCCAAACCATTCGTCAAAACTAAGCTCACTAACTCAGATCAACTATGAAATTAAGATTACAGATTAAAACTTACAGCCTTGGTGGCACTTTGCTACCATGTTGAACAAGTTTGTAAAAATGCAATTTAAAAAATGATTGATGTTCAAAATCACCAAAATTGCACTCAAGGTAAGCACCAATATGAATTCAAATCAACTACAAATAAAAGATGAGAAAAATAATCAATAAACTAAAATGCACAAATCAATAAAAGTTCAATATTCACAAATTGTGGAATTCGTTGATTAAATTCCTGGTTTCTTGTTGCTTCCAACTACAACCAACACACAAAACCCATTAACCCACCCCCAAAAATCACTCATAATTTCATAACTCGACAGCAAAAAACAAAATAACTCAAAAAAAGTACTCATAATCTCCCTTCATCATCAAGTAGAAGACTCTAGATTTACTAACAGATTCAGTAGCAGTGAGATGAAAGAGTACGAGGTTATTGTTGATAAAAGAGATTTTCTTGAGGTATTGATTGAAAGATTCACTCACCTGCAAATATCTTAAGCAACAACTTCAACCTCAGTGAGCAAGGGACATCACCGGCAATTCCGAGTAGCTGGAATTGGTGTAGTTGCTGCTCCACTATTGTGTATACCCCAGACTTCCAGAATTTTTTTTTTCAATTGCTTGAATTTAGTTTGAGGGTTGTATAAAGTCGAAAAAGAATAAGAATACACCCTAATTTGTTCAAAATTTCAAACAAACTTGATAATTATTTTCAAATCCAAGTACAATAAGAACCTAATTAGATTAACGATGAAAAGATAGATCGAGAAATGATTAAAAAAAACAAACATCTAAATTAAAGTATTTGAGCAAAAGCCAAGGAAAAAAAAATTAAATCCTAATTTTCCAGAAATGAGCAATTTTTACATATTTCTATTCAACCGTATCAAATTGAAGGAGAGAAAATACCTTACAAGTTTATGAGCTTCATAAAATTGATGGCAGAAACTTCGCCACCACCATTACCTCCATCGCCGTTCATGGCAGTTTCTTTCCTCTTTTTCCCTTTCTTGGGTCAAAATCAAAAGAGCGAAAATCATTGAGATTTTCAGCACCATTCCTTCATCAAGAAATTAGAAATATTTGGAATTATCAACCGAATTTAAGAAAATTATTAAGAAGATTAACCAAGAAACGTAGCACAAAAAAAATTCCTGTGAAAATAAAAGCTTTACCCTAGATTGTCAAAATTTATATTAGATGATTATAAAGGATAGTAATCTTACCTCAAGAAGCTGCTTTAATGGAGGAAATTAAACAACAAACTCAGACCGAACGGAAGCATCGGAGACGGCTGGCCGAAACTGGAGGAATCGAATTCACAAGAAAGGAGAAACGGGAGGAGAGAGAGAGAGAGAGACAGAGAGGTGAGAGGAGAAGAAGATAGAAGACTTAAGAGTATATAGAGAGAAAGAAGCAACAAAGGGTCGGTTAAACAGCTGGATGACACAGAAACAATAAAGGGCAAAATTGGCAATCCATTGAATTCAGGGGTTTTAGAGTAAAAACACCAAAAATTACTGTTGCTAACTTTCCACATTTAATAAGGTTTATTTATATATATATATATATATATATATATAATATATATATATATATATATATATATATATATATATATATATATATATATTTGGCTAGTACTATTACGTTGGTTGGTAATTGGTAATACTCTTATATATTTCAAAGTTTCCTCCAGTATTCTCTCCAAAAAATTTTCGTTGTCCAGTGTTTGCGTTTGCCAAAAAAGTAATTGTTTTAATTTCTTTTAATTGTCTGTTTTAAGCGTTGATCATGGCCGGAAGGAACGGAGGAAATCCAATTTATGAAGTTTTTCGTTGGATACTCAAACAAAGGAGGGATAATACTGAAGGGCAATTAGCCGCACTTGTCAAAGTTATGGCTGACATAATTCGGAAGGTTGATGGCCTGTTGAAGGAGCTCGAGTCGATTCAACGTCAGTTAGGAAATCCTGGCAAGTCTAAAAAATAGAAGAGGGATGGGAAACGACTGAAAATCAATGATAGTAAGTGCGAGGGTGTAATCGAAATAGATAGCGACAGTGACGATGATATGCTGGCGATGAAGAGGCAGTTAGTCGGTGAGTCATCCAACATGCAGGGTGGGGCTTCTAATGGAAGCAGAGCCGAGGTTGGTGTTGTTGAGGGTGGTGAATGCAAAAAAGAAGGGTCTGTTAAGGTTAACTAAGTGGTGGACTTTCCTGCTGATGTTGATAAAGGCGAAGCAGAAGAAGAAGCAGAGTATGAGGAGATGGAAGGAAAAGAAGATGAAGATGAGGGCAACGATGCTCATGAAGGGAATGACGATGAGGAAGGGGTTGAGGCTGACAATGAGAAAGAGGAGGTAAATGATGACGATGATAACAGTGAAGATGAGGAGGGGGCTGATGATAACAATGCCGGTGAGGAGGGGGCTGATGATAACAATGTCGGTGAGGAGGGGGTTGATGTTAACAATGTCGGTTAGGAGGGGGGTTAGGAAAATGAAAAGGGCCCCAAAGAGGAAGGTGAAGGTGATCTTTAAGAACATGATGGAAGGCTCTCGTCTTCAAGCTCTGATAGTGGAGATGAGTTTGGGGTCAATGATGGTGTGTATGGTGCTTCAGTTTCCTCAATTAATTTAGATGCCTATCGGCGATCGCCATGTAATTTCAATGGTGTTTGTTAGGATGGTTTGTGATGCATCAATCATTATCTGAAGATAAGGTTGGTTCTGTTTATTATGTAATGTAGGTTACCCAAGCTTGATTGTATATTTATTTGGGGTTTAAGTAGAAGGATTTATTGTTCTAAATTTTATGATATGTTTATTTAACAGTTATTCGATTTAATCTAAAAAGGCTATTTTGTTTTGAGTTTGTATTCTTCATTTTGCTTCTTTTGTTTGGTTCTAGTGATAGGCTCATTAGTTTTATTAAATACAATTCCAGAGAAACACTTATAGTTTAAGTACTACAATAATCAAATTTAAATTGCAATAATTGAATCACAACCTAATTAAGTATAGAAAAGACATCCTACAATTTTGATATAGTGTAGCATAGCCATTTAATGTATTCTTTTTTCTAAGCTTAATGCAATATGTCCAAGTAAAGCACTTAAGGACATAATAAGAGAAGTGTAATGGATATAATGTAATCATGGTACTTTATATTAGTACCTTTTGCATGATAGTTTGGTGATCTATGCTTTTTTGAATTACATGTCATTTTCTTATTTCAGGTTCTCACCGTTGATCAGTTTTAGCGCTTAGTTTGTCTAATTCAATAATACTTCTTGGAATCAATTTTAACTTTTTACAAAAATTTCTACCATGTAGTATTATTTTGTTTGTCAATTTAAATAAATTTTATTTTCCATGCAATTCTAGAAAAGTCCCGTGAAAATTGCCTATAACGCCTATAAGGAAGTATCAACACGGGTTAGAGCGAGTATATAACTCTCACAAAAAAGTGGTTGAGCAATATTCCTTTTTAAGAAAACATACATATTCTTTACTTGTATTCAACATAATAATAATGAGAGATCAAACTAAATCAAAACACTACATGATTTACAAAACAAATAAAGATCTATGTTTTATTTTAAAATAGCAATTTTACTTTCTCTCTAATTTACCGACCCTCAATGGACAAGTGTAACTTATTCATGTCACCTCAATTTACAAAACAAATCATGTACTTAAATATTTATAAAGTAAAATAGTCTTATACAATTACCATTATTTATTGTAATGAAGCCAATAATTAAGTAAAACAAAAAATCAACACACGTGAATACACACTTATGTAAAATGTGATCAAAGTACATTAGCATTAGGGTAATAACATCACCAGAACATCATCAAGTGAGATAACACATACTTATTTTCTTATTTTTAATGTGAACAAAGTTATACAAAGTACAACATTGACCCATAATTACTAGACTTTAATATTCCATCTCACACTAACTAATAACGAGCACGTCCAAGTACTACCTAATACTGGTCCAATGTACTCATCATCCGAACCGAGTTCGGAATCAGACGATGCTAAGTAGGAAGTTATCCATTTCTAGTTGTGGGCTACGCTTGCTTCTTGGATGTTGTGCCCGTAGTTCGGTGGAAATTGTTTGTCCGAAATAGGGAGACCATTAGTTATACCTACAACCACATCAGGCTTGACACCGTTCACATCACATATCACAGAAACGAACGACTTGTACTCGTTTTCATCTTATGTGAAAAGGTGCTAAAAGTTCTTCGAACCAAACCTAATCCACTCCACCTTTGATACCGTCTCTTTTAACTTCACCTGTAGATGAGTAGAAAACTCCCTTCGCACAGTAAGTAAAGCCCACGCGTCTCCATGAGTGGCTCTATGTGCCGCAATAACACTCTTCCATTTATTCAACAACATGAAAAGCTTGCAAAGAACCTGTATTGCCACACATACTTCCAAGACTGACATCTAGACACAAGAGTTCTTAGTTTAGGTAAACGAAATGTAAATGCTAACGTGTACAAATCTAGCATGTAATACAGCATACAATAAGCTTCTTTCCTAAAATAGAGGGGATAGGGGATACGCAATCTTAAATTGGCGTAGATAAGGATAATGTGGATGGAAACGAATGTCGTATACAACATTTCCGCTCATCTGAATTGCTGCCAATTGGTGGTTGTACATCATAGTTATGTTCCTCTTTTCAATAGTAAGAGTCGCCAGCATCTCGCTTAAGTGAACTGGTCCATTTTTTAGACATTGTTGAAAATCCTCTATGTCGTCTTCATTCTGTACGCGCATACATAGGAGGGGGGGGGGGGGGGGACAAGAATTTATACGAGCAATGCAAAAGTGGGTTATCCATTTGATTATTCATTTTTAGGGTTTCAACAGGCTCGAATTGAATAAGGGCAAATGCCATTTTAAGGGCTATGAAGATTATAACTAATTTACGACATCATACAACATATGCTTGGGGTTCTCTCTCTTATAAACTCCTAACCCTATCATTTTTTCCCTTTTATTTGTTTGTTTTCTTTCATTTTTTCAGGTTAAGGTCGTTATCAAAAGATTCCCGAGACCCCTTCCCAAGTTTGGCATTAAGTAGGAGGCCTAGTGTACTGTTATTCATTTGAAGCCCAAGAGCAAAGGAGTTTAAGAGCTTGGTCATTTAAGTTGCGCCTTCATGTCTTGTGGGCATGAAGGAGTGGTGTCAAACCCACCAAGAAATGCTCAACTTTCTGCCTATTGAATCATGGCTCATCCGGAGCTCACGTAGAAAAGCTCGGCCTCATCCAAAAAATCTCCCTTGCTCCAGATGCGCGGGCGCGCACGAGAGAGGAGCGGTCGCGCCAGGCTTATGAGCGGTCGCGCGCGACCCTGCAGCGGCCGCACCCCTTCTTTCTCCCTGCTTCGTACCCTTTTTGTAGCGGCCGCGCGTACTTGTGAGGGGCCGCACTCTTTGAGGATATTTTTGTGACGTCTGACTAACTTCCTTATATTTAGTTTTGCTATAAATAGAATCAGCTAGATTTTATTAGGAGGAGATAATTAAAAATGGTTTTTAGATCAAATTTTAGAGAGAGAGAAACTGTAATTTGTAGAGAGGGAAACTCATGGTTGATGATTGATGATTCTAAGCACATTTCCTTTTGATTTGAAGAAAGTTTGTAAGGATATCTTTTACATTAACGCAATCTTTAGCTTTTTATTTCAATTGTTTTTTTGATTGTTCAAGTTTAATTGATTAGTGATTGAATTTAGTTTTATTAATATGATGATGATGAACTTGTTGAATAGTTTAGATTTGATCTTGATTTCTTCCATGGATTGTGAGTATTTTACTTGCTAGGGTGATGGTGAAGCATATATGCATAATGGATCAATACTAATATTGTGATTAAATTAGTTAATTGATCATGTGCATGTGTGTGATTTATTGAAGAGTAGCTAACTTTTATTGGTTCACTAGATTGCATTGTGAGTTCACTTTGATACGGACAATTGATTTGTGGCCTGCATTTGTCGATTGAGTTCGTTTGTAAAGTTCCAAGCTAGAGTATTTCGTAGTTGACACTAGTTTGACCTCTAGGAGAATAGCTTATCATACTCTTTTAATTGCATCGTCGATTTTCCCTTGCAATACTTGACTTAATCTGTCCCAATCCCGAGTGCTTGATATATTGATTTTATCTTGTTTGCTTAGTTGACTAAGATAACACACACCTCTATTTCACCTCTTCGAAATAGCTTCACTCTAGCGATAGTGATTGATGCGTGCCATTTATGGCACTTTTAGGCTAGGTTTTCTTCATATTTTTATGCTTGTTTTTAGTCGTTTATGACATGTTTTTAGGGAACAATGCTTGATTTGCGTGTTTATGAGTAAGTTTAGAGAAATGTGTGCTTTTAATGTTTTTCTTATTATTTTATTCATTTTTCGGCTATTTCTCTCACTTCCCCGGAATCAAGGAGAGAGCTCAAGTGCAGTCAAGGAATTTAATGGAGACAAGTTAGGGAAGCTAAGCACGCAAGTCAAGCCAATCCAAGCAAGCTCCACAAGCATGAGTTCCAAAGTAACGATCCCGAGCACCAAGGAAGCGAGCCCGAGCTCCTAGCCGCAGCAGCCTGAGCATTCTTGTAAACAGCCATGCTCCCTGCAACTCGGCCGCGCACGCAACAACGCAGTATCTCAGCCGCGGGCTGGCCTCGGGCGCGGGACCTGCTACCGCAAGCACGGGGTTGCTGTAGCCTCAAAACAGCCGTTTTCGACCAGGAACTTAGAGAGGGCAAGCCGCGGGCACCCCGAGGCCGTGGGTCTAGCCCCGCGGGCGCGGGTTCTAGATGCGGGCACGGGCTTGGGGGTTTTCTCCTCCGCGGGCACGGGTTTCTGGGTTTTACTTGCGATTTAATTTATTTTCTCCTTTTGTATATTTACTGTACGACCTTCTTTATTATTCATACATGTAATTCTTTAGTTTTAGAATATTTTCTCTCTCATCTAAGGAGGATTAGGGTAGATTAGGAGTTCCTCTCTCTAGATTAGGAGTAGTTTTAGAGAGAGAAAGTGAAGGATTTTAATGGTGATTGAGAGATTGAAGATACAAGGGTGACAATTGTGTTGAAGATCTTCTCTATTATCAATGAGCATTCTTAACTCTATCTCACCTTATTGCTTTTTTGAATTTCATGTTTGATTAGCTTGATTAGTTTGATTTTGATGTTTGATGCTTGGTTAGTGTAATTGTTCTTGATATATTGTTGATTCTTGATTTCTTTAGTTGATTGCTGGTAGATGATGATATTTGAGTAGTTGTTGGCTAGGAATTGGGTGAAACTTGTATGATTGATTAATTATGATTAATTTGGGAATTGTATTGATTGATTGTTGAGATTAAAGTGATTAATAAAGGTTTGCATGTGTGTAATTCGATTAGGCCTTGAGAATTATACTAGATTGCATTGTAATTGCTAATGACAC